TAGAAATCTTCTCCTGGATCGTCCGTAAAAACGGGTAATACAATCCCGGGTTGTATTATTTCAATGAAACTGTTTTCGTCGCTGTTTGTGATTAGTCTTTCAGTTACCTCCGTTTCATGCACAAGTTTATTTTGACGAAAAGGTCCGGCTTCGCTAATAAATGAATTAGTTTCAGTACGACAGTTATAACATGAGTAGCAGGACAAGTCGCGAACTAAAACTTTTCGAGTACTTGTACTTTTAATTTGGTGAATGTACCTTACTGAAGGGGCGACTTTAAATGATCTATATCTATTTCAGGGTACTTCCGCAACATACCAAAAAATTCACCTTTAACATATAGAGGACTGTCTTGGTGTCTCCAAATTGTCTTTGCAAAAGTTGTACATATCATTCGCATTCTGAATCAAACATTTGCCTCTAGCAACAATAAATCACTAAAAGCTAAAAATGGTTATAAAATATCAAAATTTAATCTGTGTCGAATCTATGTTCCGAGTTTGTCAATATGCACTATTCTTTTTTCGACAGCCTTCAATATCTTTTTCCAAATTTCACCACACGATTTGTTTTTATTATCAGAAACATTTAATTGAAACAAATTTAGCAACGTCGGAAATAAGAGCGTTTTTCGGATTTTTCGACGTTTTCACCCGTTTGGACAAAATGACTACCGTTTTGTAATTTTTGGTAGCATTTTATTCATTTCAGACCCAAGCATGAAGTTAATAAAAAGCAAATCTAGGCATTGTGTACTCTTCGTGTATCTAACTTTTGTTTTTATAAATTAAGAATAACTTATTGAAATATCAGGTAAAAAACCCGCATTAATTGCTTTGACAAATGAAATATCAACTTGGACAAAATGACTACCGCTTGAAAAACGACTGAAAAGAGAAGATTTTACAGAATCTACAATATTTGAACTCACGAACAATAAGGCAAATATTTGTACTATTGGTAGATGTTATTATTATCTTACCATTTTTAGACATTTTCGGCTATATCTACTTATAAAATACACTTTCAGTCGTTGAGTCAACGAAACACGTCGTTGGACATTTTTCTAATTCCAGCTTAATATGCAGCCACCGAGTCAAATGAAATTTGACAAAATAATGACTCAATTGTTACAAAGAACCGACACATGTCGTTGTTCTCGCCAAGTTTCAGGAAGATCAGAGAATAAGAAATAGGATCACTTTACATAAGAGTTAAAACAGTTGTTCAAAAATGTAACGTTGGACATCCGTTTTTTCACATATAGCTTTGTTGTTTTAATCCTCAAATATACTAGATATTACTAAGCATATGACCAAGAGCTAGAAGAACATTATTGAAAACATATACTGAATTTGTTTTTATAGCGGTTAGTGTTTGCTAACATTTTTTTTTGTTTTGCGGAGGAAATTCTTTTTTAAATCCTATGGGTTGTAGGAACAGCGTGCGTAACGCGCTTGGAAATTAGATCAAGGTGAAATCAATCCTGTTAATCGGAAAAGTACATTTTAAAATCATTACATAACCTAATATAGCTGACACATTGCTTATCAAAATCTTAGATTTTTCTAAGCAAAACGTTACTCTTCTCCATGGTCAATTGAAAGATCGACTGCATAGTCTCATTAAACAGGTTCGTTTTTCTATTCTACAAAAATGGTAAACAAACTAGATACAAATTCCTTGTTGTTGGTCATTCCAAATCGTACTTTTTGAAAAACCCCTACACTGGTTCCAACAACAAATGCACCGATGATGATATCAAAATGCCTGATCACTTTTTGATCGACAACATTTTTGTGGAGTTTGGTAGATTAATATTTCAGCAGACAGTCGGTATTCCAATGGGTACTAATTGTGCATCACTACTGGCCGATTTGTTTTTTTTTACTTATATGAAGCAAAATTCATACTAAACCCTCTCTAAGACAATAAGAAAAAGCATCTTGCAAAGTTCTTTAATTCCACTTTCAGATATATTGATGATGTCCTGTCACTCAATAATCCCCATTTCAATGAGTGCTTACTTCTCACATATTCTAGACAACTTGATATTAAGGAAACTACAGACAGTATGTTTGCTCCATATATTGATCGTTTTTATCGATATTAACACAGACTGACGACTTCAAACTAAAATCGATGACAAACGTGATGATTTTAACTTTCCAATTACCAACCCATTTATCAACAGTAACTTACCCTCTGCTCCATCGTATGGTGTTTACATATCTTACTTAATTAATACGTTACTTTCGTGTATGTTCACACTATGCGGACTTCGTTACCAGGCATGTGCTCCTTACACAAAAACTGCCCAAACAGAGTAATGAGGAAAAACGATTGAAATCGACGCTACATAAGTTATACGGTCACCATCACGATACGATGTGTCGGTGTCTCAACTCACTAGCGACATGTTTTCATGGTCTTAGATGTTTAGACACCAGTATAGTCGTCTGATCTGATATTTAAACGATTGCATGTGTCCTATTCCCGATTGTGACATTTTGAGTGAGTAAGATTTCGATTGGCGGATGATGCATGCATAGCAGGAGACGCTTACCCTGTCAACGTACCCGGTCTCGCTCCTTTTGGTGTTCATGTAATTCCCTAAATTGTGTTGCCTAGATTTGTCTCGTTTTGATCGAGTCACGAGATTTCAACCTCGGTAAACTACTGTCGCATTTATTTACCAATGAACCATGAACATGCGGTCAAACGCACCATACCTGACGGAAGTGTACAATCTCAACCATTCCATACACCAAATACAGTAGACCTATTGCTTATAGCTATCATAGTATATAAGAAACTGACCTAATCATGAAAACTTAACTTTGATCAATAAAACATAAAAAATGAGGCAAGATGAACCCTAGCAGCAAGACTGATATATTCACCTTACAATCATACCATACACCAAATACAGTTGACGTATTATTTATAGTATATGAGATAGAAACTAAATGTTATTAACTAATGTATTATATGTAAATACAAGTCACACTTAATGTACGAAAATCCCTCTTGCGACATGATATATGGCTTTGCTTTCTGGAACATCCAATTTTAAATATATGTAATTCATTCTGACTCTCTTTCGCTTCCGATCGATCAGTGTGAAGTTGTAAATCCATCCTTCGAAACTTCAATGTTTTGTTCAAAACAATCATTTAAAATGTGTCCCTCTGGTATCTTTCGTCCCTCTTTTTGTTAAAAGATGTTAAAGATGATTGCTTCAAAATATTTTAGGAAAAGTTCTACATTTTCTATCATCTCAACACCATAACGCACAACTTTGTAACATTATTACCAAAATATCTTGAGTTTTAATTAATTGCTTCAAAATCGAAAACGGCAATCATATCAGTCAGTGAAACACCATTAAATGACTCAGTAACGGGTGTGGAAATTTATATTAAGAATAATTATGTTGTATGGTCAGATAGATCTCGAAGACGCGGATGAGTCTGTTGACTTAACTGGACTTCTCTATTTTGCAAGATCTCAAAATCGAAGGTATTGAATAGATATAAATAGATTTTTTTTAACAAATACGAAACCATTAATAGTGTGTACGTGTTACCGACCTTCCAAACAAAGAGAGGCGAAAGATATAAAGGAATATTGAAACTCATAATTCGAAAAACGAAACTGACAATGCCTTGGCAAAAAAAAAATACGAAAAACGCTCAAGAGACAAACATCTGTAAACAAAACACAACATAGAAAGCTAAGGACGAACCTGGGAACAGTATATCTAACGGGAAATGAATCTGATACGCTTTTCAGTATAAAATTGATAAAATCTCGGACTCCCCGAGACTTCCCAAGATTTACGGATTTTGGTAGCGTCTGACTGAAAAACTATCAGAACTGCTCAACAAATAAACCACATAACTCTAATTGTAAATAAATACAAGTTTTATCATTTAGTAGATATATTTTGTCATATAAAATTACCAAAATAAGTTTGATTTATTTGATGTGAAGTGTTTTATAATAGTTTGGGAATTTGTAAATCATCGCGGCAATGGCCGCCATTTTTTTATTACCTGGTTTGCATTCTGCACAATTCTGTGATGAAATGCTTGCGATTTTAACAAATTTGAAGTGACAGAATACAAGTTTGATACACTAGCATCACTATAAAACTAGTTTGAATGACATTTAATTGATAATATCAGAAATTATTAGGATAATAGCGAGTCCGTTTTTAACACATGTCCGTTTCTGTATCGTATCTTTATTAACTATGGCACGACGATAAAATCGACTACAATCAGGTAGTGTCAAGTCCCGTCAATATATATGTTCCTGGACGAACCCATTAAAAATAAACGGGTTATCTAAGGTGCTCCAGAAGGGTAAGCAGATCCTGTCCCACATGTGGGACCCGTCGTGTTCATCGTGTAAGTACAAACCCGATGATAAGTCTAATTCGGTAGGTCACCTTCGAGCAAAAGAGGACGGGATTGTGGTTACAACAATTGAACATATCCATCGTCATCTGCGAAACAGATATTCCATAACGGTCAACCAATTCGTGATACCGCGTTCGTAAAATTTTGGAAGGGATGATTTCAACTTCACCAATTGGAACTTTTGATTTTTATAACTTCCTTGTAAGCAGCAACCCTTTATCAAGGAAATCATAATAGGAAATGCAAGCTTTGGAATAGATGATTTTTTTTAATTATTTGAACAAACCAGAATGTGAACAAATTATCCTTGGTGATTTGAATATTAGCTTAAAAACAATACATCTGTAGTACAGCTTGATTTTATCATTTATGTTAATAAATAGTATTTGTATATATTTGTTCATGCATTGACTTGTTGACTGACTCTGACAGAGTATACAGTATGATAGTACTTTGATTTTCTATTCACTTGGGTATTTACATCCTGGGTATTCTATTTCTTTATTCTGATTGGTTACTCTGTGAACTCCTTTGATATTGAGGCACTCTTTTCTAATTCTACACAGAGATATAGAACACTGACACTTTATTGTGATTTATAGATATTTATTCTTCTTATTCTGGAAACCATTCTTTATATTCAGGTCAGTTATATTCTTTACATTAGTATTTGATGCATGTATTTCTGTATTTTTATCTTGGTATAAAAGATATGAATGTGTTATGAAAATGTGTATGAAAGTCCACTTTGATTTCCATGAGTATGAAAGAGTTCATATTTTTGCTTTAAGTTGGTATTTGCAAGACAGAAAGAATATTACAGTTATTATATTATTTTTCATATTTGGCTGTTATTAGATTTCAGCATAGAATATTGTCTTGCATTGAGTTTAACTATATTATTTACTAGTTTTGACATTAAGACTTATGAAGTCATATTTCTTTATATTCAGATTCCAGTATGTGAAGTATAAGAGTATACAGTAACTTTATAGAGGAGCACTGCTCAGCCCTTGTATTATATACACGGTAAGCTGTGTTCTGTGTTTACATGTTTATTTATTCACGTGTTGACTATTTGTACTTATGTGTTTTAATTAATGTGTGTCTTGTCTGTGTTTGTAATGTGTTATTGTTTAGTTTACGAATATCTCCGAATAGAATAGTGTATCAGAATTGATTACTTTAGATAATGATCGTTGACACAAGGTGTTATTGATATCTGTAGAATTGCATATTGAACAGTTACCGGAAATAGACTTTGGTATAGATGCTTATGACTTGTAGTAAAACATACTTTATTAATATGGTTTATTTCGAACTGAAGTTAACTACTTGGATAATTTATATTTTATTTTATTATAAATTGTCATCCTGCCTTTTTTTCACATTTCATCCTAGACCCCCCCCCCCCCCCCCCCCCTAAAAATCAAATGGTAGCTCCCTAAGTTAGCAGACAAATTATTTTATTTTTACATTGACAAACCTGTATAACCCTGAAGCAGTATTAAGTTAATGTATTATCCCGCATATTATTACATGTACATTGAACTAAAACAAATTGTGGTCATTGTCAAAATTATAATTTACAGTTTACTTTTCCAATGCTTTTAATTTAAGATTAGGGCATTTTTGTCATTGGAATTGAGTTTTTTAGTCGGAGATTACTCTAACATCCAACGACTGTTTTGCGACACCAGCTAGGGCAGTGAGACTTCAGCTGGTCCCATATCAGATAGATGATATTTGCCCGTCCAAAGTGGATGTGCTGCTTCGTTGCTTCTGGAGTCGACTGGATCCATATAAATCAAGCCTCAATTCATTCATTTTTCTCTTCATTTAAGTAAGTTTGATCAACCTGCCACCCGTTATCTTCTCATATTTGGACAGTTTTCACATTGACCCATCCAGTGGCGGATCCAGAAATTTTCATAAGAGGGGGCCCACTGACTGCCTAAGAAGGGGCCTGCTCCAGTCATGCTTCAGTGATTCCCTATATAATCAACCAAATTTATCACACAAAAGGGGGGGGGGCCAGGGGGGCCCCCTGGCCCCCCCCCTAAATCCGCCTCTGCCATCAATACTGACATTTTAGAGGGTATGAATGCCCTTTACCGTCAGGCGTCTAACGGTCATTTTCGGCTACCGTTAGCGTCAAATATGTTAACATTTTACCGTGATTCGTCAACATATCCTTATCATGATTCATCAGAGGTCTCAAATAATAATCGTTACCGTTATTTTTGGCAAAAAATTAACGTGATTTGTCAAAATCTGTCAGTTTTTTATCGTCTTGAAGAAAGTCTTCATTTTATCGTCATGCACCAAAAGTTACCGTTAACGTCATTTGGCAAGATTTTTTACCTTTATTCGTCATGAAGGTACCCCCATTACCACCCTCATTTTAACTTTTACTTTATAAGAATGTCACATGACCAACATTATGGGAACTGATTTATGCAATTGACCCTTATTCAATAGGAAAACAATCTATATAAATCAAGCCTCAGTTCATTTTTCTCTTCATTTAAATAAGTTTAATCGACCTGCCACCCGCTATTTTCTCACATTTGGACAGTTTTCACATTGACACATCAATACTGGTATTTTTACTTTAACTTAAAAAGATTGTGACATCAGGGGTGAAACTTAACTTTGTAAGGCCAGTAGCCAGCTGGGTTACTAGACTTGGAAATCAGTTAGCCCTGACAAAAAGTTAGTAGCCCAATTTATTTCACTATGAGTATCACTGGTGAAGCCTGCGTGCGGACTGAACTTGCTAGGGGGGGTTTGGGGGCATGCCCCCCCCCCCCCCCCCCCCCCCGCCCCAAGAAAATTTTGAAATTTTAGACTCAAAACCCTGCATTCTGAGCATACCTGGAGGTGATTTAGATGCTTGGGAAAATGTAAATTTTGTCTTATTTTTGTTGTTGACTTCAATCAAATTTAATAAAAAAAAAATCATTTACAAAATGGGAATCTTCATACCCTGTGTACCAGTTTTTTTTTTTAATATCTTTTTAAGACAACTAAAGAATTCTCTGTCCTTAAATACATGTAGATGATCAATGAAATATTTAATTTTATTTCTTTAATAATCTAATTTATTAAATATCTTGATCGATTTATTTTGCGTAACTACATACATTTGTAAACAAATGACACCCATTTTTTCTCAAAAGACTTGTACACGTATTTCAAAAGCATTGTCATAAAATTGATATCTCCTCTAATTTTCTCTTTTTTGTAAACTGTTCAGTAAGTAGGAAACTAAAATCATTTTGAACTAATGTTATTTATTTGTGGTCGACAATATTCTTCTTTCGTTTTTGACCTTCATTCTCTGGACACCACGTGGGCTTTGAAAAGGGAACTACAAAAGGTACTGTTTTCCAGATTCTTAACAACATTATATATTATACGTTCTTTTATTTGACTGATATTATTTCATAACATGCTATTGTCATCTTCTCTGAATTTCTTCGCTTTCTTGAAGCCAAAACCGAACAGGGTATTTGATCGCTTCATATTGTAAATGACCATCGGAACGTCTCTCTAATGTTATCCTTGCAAACATTCAATACTTTCCGGACTTTAAATAGACGACCAATCAGTGACCTGAATTAACGTGAACTATATTTAGTCAAAGGTAAACTCTGATTTTACATCCTTGTTTATCGCAACCGCGACTTTGCGACAATACGACTCTCGACACTTGCCTGTATACATTTTAAAAAGATTTTTTTTCTTTTTGAACTTATATTTTTGTCAGTGAAGTAGCCGGCACTTGGAGCCACAATAAACAGCGGATTTCCGTCTGTCGGGTACTTTGTTTTCAATTCGCCACCTGCGCTACCACAACTGAATAAAAAGATCGCCCAGGTCAATTTCTGGTCGCCATGGGCGACCGTTAAGTTTTTTCCCTGGACATGACCAACAGAAAAAGTAATTTTCAATGCATTTTGAGAGTTGATTTATGAAAATGACCCTTATTCAATACGAAAACATAATCTAACACCTCGTTCATTTATGATGCAAATAAGCTGAATGGCCGAGTGTGTTCAATTTGAAAATAAAAGTTATAAAATGCAGGAATCGCAAAAACAGATGTTGGACATCAGAGTAATCTCGGCCTGTGAGTATGAGTTTTAGGCAATTTGTAGGGGGGAGGGTTCAAGGGAAGCAAATGCTCTTTAAATTATGCATGTTTCAAAAATTGGGGAAAAATTACACAGAGCGTTGAGTCATTTTTTCAGACTTAATTTAAATAAAGACTAATGTAGACTTACCTTCTAATTCTATAAAAAAAATCACAACTACTGAACAGGAACAATCATGGTACTTTTTTTGTCTATGATTCGTATGAAACTACACTATGACATCTGATCTTCAAAACCTACAAACAGACACAGAAATATCATCAAATAGTGAAATATAAGATTGATTGCACCTTGTATGGATAGTTCCGACACGTGTTACATGGGGAGCCTGTTTGTTTACAAATAATAATGTCACGTGATCACGCACTGACCGTCACAAATTTTTATCCTCCGCCATTTTTCGTATTACACAATATTACTGTACTTGCACAATTCACAAATGCATAACCCATTTATCTTGCGGACATGCAATGGGAATGTGCACGGTTATCGAAAACTTCAAAAATATTGCATGTACAGTTAATGAAGAAGTTATTTCATCAAATAGATATTTAGATAAGATTTTCACTCATGACACAAATTGACTGGGTGTCATCGCCATCGGGGATAATTGATAAATGGGATTAAATTGACCGCCAAGAAGGTGTAGAGAACCGCCTCTGGAGAACCTTAACATTAATAAGTAATACTCACCAAAATTTCTCTATAATTAACGCTATTTTCTGTTGGAAAATTTCAGAAAGATGCTGATAAACTTATTTGGTGACACAGATTATTTTCTTGTTTTGGCGCGAAATATATTCTTACTCTTAACAAAATTTGTATATAATTATATTTTACTCAAGCTCAGCATAAATATGCAGAAGCATGAAAATACATTAATGATAAAATGTGTAAATATTTCTGTAAAAGAATATAATTTTACTTTCCCAGTATACTTTACTTAGAATTACATTTGAGCGCAAGAAAGTCTCCTTGTGAATAGGCCCGGGGTCGAAGTTCAACATATCAACGGAAATTTTTGCGTGTGCTTGCGTTGCTTTACATCGAGGCTACAGCTTTTCAACCAATCGGGGAATGTTTACCTAGGGCATACATCTATTTTTACAGCAGGTTTTGACATGTTTAAATCGGGATTATAGAAAAATGGAATGTTGTTGGTAAATACAAAACAGAAAATGATGACACTTTTAGCAAAAGATAAATTGGATCGGGGGTCTGTGAATTCACATTATTTGTACAACTCTCCTTACTCTTGGGAAGCGTGTGCTTTACATCGAGGCTTGCGTTGCTTTACATCGAGGCTTACATTGACGCCATAGTAGTTCAACCAATCGGGGAATGTTTATTTGGGGCATACATCTATTTTTACTGCAGGTTTTGGCATATTTTAATCGAAATTAGAGTAAAATGGAATGATGTTAGGAGATATAAAACAGAAAATGATAAATATTTTTAGCAAAAGATGAATTGGATCGGGGTTCTGTGTATTCACATTATTTGCACAACTCTCCTTACTGATGGCAAAAAATGGAATTTCCGTGACCTAAATGGTTCGCGAAAATTAATATTTTTATATATATATATAGTAAATATGGAGATTATAATTAGAGTTATCGTTCTTTGAACGTATGTATTGTGTCTTATTGTGTGTTTTATATGTTACAGGGTGTTTATTTGAGATTACTATAATAAACCAATAGAACCTTACTCAGATGTTATTTACGCCCAACTTGATGAGTCTACAAATGGCGCCCAACGTAAGTAGATTTCTATGGAGTGTTCTTAATCTTCCTTCTCCATTTTCCTTTTTAACATTGAAAACAGGTATTTCTAAATTCGGTTGCGATAAAATTATATACGGTTCATCCTCCCACTTATCAGCAATTTTATGTTTTCCGTCGAATGCAACTTTCCTAACTTAAACCTTATCTCCTTTTTCAATCACTGCACCTCTTGCTCTGAGATCATAACCTTCCTTTTGTTTCGCCTGAGCTTTCCTTGAGTGTGCAGCTGCTATAATTCATACGCCTTAACTAATCTTTCTCTTAACTCCTGAACATATTTTGTTTGCGGTTTGCGTTGTTTTTCTGTAACTAATCCAAAAGCTAAATCTATAGGTAATTGCGGTTCTCTTCCAAACATTAAAAAGTATGGTGATTGATTGGTTGATTCGTGTTTTGTACAGTTATACGCATGAACAAGTGATCCTACATGTAATTTCCAATTAAGTTTTTGATTCGGTTCCAAAGTTCCTAACATTGAGAGTAAAGTACGGTTAAATCTTTCTGTCATTCCATTTCCCATTGCGTGATACGGTGTAGTTCTAGATTTTTTAGTTCCCAAAAGTTTACAAAGTTCCTGTATTAAATTCCCTTCAAAATTTGCTCCTTGATCTGAATGTATGCGTTTCGGTATTCCGTAATGGACAATAAACTGGTGAAATAAAACTTCTGCTGTAGTTTTAGCGGTCTGATTCCTTGTTGGATAGGCTTGAGCGTACCTAGTGAAATGATCTGTCACTACTAACATATGCTGATGTCCTCCTCTTGATTGTTCCAAAGTTAAAAAATCTATGCATACCAATTCCAAAGGTTGTGAAGTTGTAATACTTACCAGTGGTGCTCTTGATGGTTGTTTTTTCCTTTTTATACACCGATCGCAGTTCTCAATCCAATTGTCAATATCTTTCGACATACCTGACCAATAAATATCTATAAATCACAATAAAGTGTCAGTGTTCTATATCTCTGTGTAGAATTTGAAAAGAGTGCCTCAATATCAAAGGAGTTCACAGAGTAACCAATCAGAATAAAGAAATAGAATACCCAGGATGTAAATACCCAAGTGAATAGAAAATCAAAGTACTGTCATACTGTATACTCTGTCAGAGTCAGTCAACAAGTCAATGCATGAACAAATATATACAAATACTATTTATTAACATAAATGATAAAATCAAGCTGTACTACAAACTCCCCTGCATTGGGAAATGACGTCCCCGTCATTGCAGTCAAGTTTTAACAAAATACAATATATAATACACATGTGAAGTTCTGACTCTCAGTACTTCTTACTAACAATTCATGAAATTAACTATCAAACATATAAAAGATAAAACACAGATCTCAATCACTGAATGGAATAATCTCACTGAATTTCTAAGATGATTTCAAAATAATGTCTATTAAAGCTTTCCCAGCTTCTTTTTCTAATCCAGATAGAGTTCCATCCTTAATTGCAGAAGCCATAAATTCTGCTTTTGCTTTCCAATCACAAATCACTGCACTTTTTACAACAAAATCTCCAGACCTTAGCCACTTTGGTTCTCTCCTAGCACGACGCGACCTTCTAGGTGGAGGTATCGGAGTAAAAACCAAATCATCTAATGTATCACTATCATTATCAGATTGAACGGTTTCATCTGCGTTCAATAATTCATGACTAGATTCATCAATTCCAGAAGCGCTTCCTAATTCAGAATCATCTCTGATTTCCTGAATATCAGATTGGGCGTCCCCAACTGATTCTGTTGTATTCTGTTCAATTTCCACTTCCTGTAATGCAACAGTATCCTCAGTACTTGTTGGAGCACTATCTGTTGTCATAACAGGTACAAAATAATATTCATCCTCTGATGAAGATTCACTAGCTAAGTCTGAAGTGTCTGTAACTATAACAGATTTCGGTTTCGGTGGTGATTTCATCGGTTTTAATCTAGGTTTGGGTTTCGGTGGAGTTTTAACGGTTTTGTCTGAAATATGGCCAATAGGTAGAAGTAGATTTCTATGGAGTGTTCTTAATCTTCCTTCTCCATTTTCCTTTTTAACATTGAAAACAGGTATTTCTAAATTCGGTTGCGATAAAATTATATACGGTTCATCCTCCCACTTATCAGCAATTTTATGTTTTCCGTCGAATGCAACTTTCCTAACTAAAACCTTATCTCCTTTTTCAATCACTGCACCTCTTGCTCTGAGATCATAACCTTGACCTTTATAGATACTTGGTATTGGGTACATGTGTACTTGTGTACTTTGTAAATATTAGATATTAGTGGGTATATCATAGCATTTGACATTGATTTTAGTTATGCTACACATTATTATTTGCGATTAGTGTAGTTAGGGTATACATTTTTTTATGATTTGAATCTGCGTTTGTGTCCGAGAATGTTACTGTGAGTGTTTGAACCCTTATCTACTACTTCATATACTTATACCTGCTTGTGCCCGTTACACACTTTGGTATTTGACTTTACTATTTTATAGTGTTATTTCACACATCTAGACTTTGCTAGTTGGCATACTATTGACCCATCCTTGTACTTAGTTGTCATTTTAGTGATTTGAGACTAGTGTCATATTACGTGCTTGAGACTTATCATACTGAGTTTGACATTTTACATTCGACTTAGACTAGTTTATTCGTTTTGATAGATAAGATTACTTGAGTTACTATTTATGATGGTACTGTAGATATACGTATACATTGACATTAGTTTGAGAATATTTTGATACTAGTATTTTGAGTATTTTAATATAGAATAAAATAGATATTGCCCAAGCCCCATATTGAATTTTCAGATATTTGCGTGTCATCTAATATCAACTATAGATACATCGATAAATAGTCAGCGATACTTTACTTGATTATATTTAGTATAAGACAATTGCGTACACCGTAACATATATCTGAGTCATCACGTTATAATTAAATTGGAAAAATGGCCGGTCTTGGCGAGAAATATAAGGATTTATATAGAATATGACTGACTCTGACAGAGTATACAGTATGACAGTACTTTGATTTTCTATTCACTTGGGTATTTACATCCTGGGTATTCTATTTCTTTATTCTGATTGGTTACTCTGTGAACTCCTTTGATATTGAGGCACTCTTTTCAAATTCTACACAGAGATATAGAACACTGACACTTTATTGTGATTTATAGATATTTATTCTTCTTATTCTGGAAACCATTCTTTATATTCAGGTCAGTTATATTCTTTACATTAGTATTTGATGCATGTATTTCTGTATTTTTATCTTGGTATAAAAGATATGAATGTGTTATGAAAATGTGTATGAAAGTCCACTTTGATTTCCATGAGTATGAAAGAGTTCATATTTTTACTTTAAGTTGGTATTTGCAAGACAGAAAGAATATTACAGTTATTATATTATTTTTCATATTTGGCTGTTATTAGATTTCAGCATAGAATATTGTCTTGCATTGAGTTTAACTATATTATTTACTAGTTTTGACATTAAGACTTATGAAGTCATATTTCTTTATATTCAGATTCCAGTATGTGAAGTATAAGAGTATACAGTAACTTTATAGAGGAGCACTGCTCAGCCCTTGTATTATATACACGGTAAGCTGTGTTCTGTGTTTACATGTTTATTTATTCACGTGTTGACTATTTGTACTTATGTGTTTTAATTAATGTGTGTCTTGTCTGTGTTTGTAATGTGTTATTGTTTAGTTTACGAATATCTCCGAATAGAATAGTGTATCAGAATTGATTACTTTAGATAATGATCGTTGACACAAGGTGTTATTGATATCTGTAGAATTGCATATTGAACAGTTACCGGAAATAGACTTTGGTATAGATGCTTATGATTTGTAGTAAAACATACTTTATTAAATATGGTATATTTCGAACTGAAGTTAACTACTTGGATAATTTATATTTTATTTTATTAATATGGAGATTATAATTAGAGTTATCGTTCTTTGAACGTATGTATTGTGTCTTATTGTGTGTTTTGTATGTTACAGGGTGTTTATTTGAGATTACTATAATAAACCAATAGAACCTTACTCAGATGTTATTTACGCCCAACTTGATGAGTCTACACATCTACTATATGGAAGTCTTACACAAATATTCTAGATCTGTTCAACTTAGAACAGCTGATTAAATAATATACTTGAGTAAGACCAATACCAAGTACCATCATAGACAATACTATATGTAATAATCAAATATTATCTGCAATAAAAGCGCTGTTCCATTGCTTTTTGTGTTTTTTGCTGTGCACATACTGATTTTATGTCTTGGATTGATACCCCATATCCTTTTTTTTCTATTTAGATAGAATAAGTCAGTCCGAGTTTTCTCAACGGGCGTAAGTGACCATTTTATAGCATTCTGTACGAGAAAGTCACAAAAAGAAAAAAGTTGAGAAGCCAAACATTATTAGAATAATATCAACTAAAAATTACAAAAAAGAGATCTTCAATGATAAAATTAATGCCATAGATTGGTCAACCTTTGTATTTATATAGACATTTACAGAAGTATCATGGGAGAAATTTCGATTACTCTTTCATTTAACCCTTGATGACATTGCTCCGTTTAGAGAGATAAAAAAGACACCAATCGGAACCGTGGATGACATCTGTTAACCTAAATAACATGAGAAATAGAGACCCTTTGCAAACTTACAAAAGAACACACAATTAACACCATTACGCACAACTTTGTGAGTAACATCAGAAACAAAGTCCATGCAGATAGATATTAAAAAAGATAAGGTAAACTATGTTGCAGGCAAGATCGAAGAACATACAAATCCACAAAAAAATTCTGGCAACAATTGAGATCCCTATAAAATAGTGCAAAAAAGCGAAATGAGGCAGGTATCGTTTTGAATGTAGCTGGACAAACATTCCATAACTTAAAAAGAAACTGCAAATCATTTTAAAACCTTCTTCGCAAATATTGCTTCTTCTCTTGTCGACAAATTACCACCAGGACCAAACATATTTGATGTTTAAAATTACATACTGTTTAAACAGTTCTACAGTAAAGTTACCAACAATAATGTTCAATTCGAATTAACATAGTTAAACATGAAATTATTAAACGTGTTGTTTTCAATTTTTTACATCACTGGGTCGATACCTCTGCTGGTGGACTATCAGTCCCCGAGGGTATCATCAGCTCAGTAGTCAGTACTTCGGTACTGACATGATTTATAACAAACTTTTCTAAAATTGCCCGTTTATGAATTTTGAAATCATAAAGAAACTAAGGTTTCAACTCCCTCAGGCAAAGTTGGCCTTAGATGGATTTGGCTATTTGTTTTAGGTATTTTTGTCATATAGCTCTTCAACTGTTTCGGTACTTATACATCCCTCGGATTTCAAATGTTTGGCTTCGAGCGTTCCTGATGAAGGTAAATCCAGAAAAGCGCTTCGGACGCGTGAAATTATTAAACGTGTTGTTTTCAATTTTTTAAAACAAGACTTTATATTTGAAGAACTTTAAAATCTAAATTCTATCAAGGACACGGGGATAGATTAATTTCCTGCAAGATTCGTCAAAGACGGAGCAAACACTACGGCAAATCCAATATCTTACCTTGTTTATCTATTAATTACGACAAGGATAGAACCAGAGGAACTGAAACTCGCCAGAGTGAAACCTTTATTTACAAAGAGAAGTAGACCGGAAATAGAAAATTATAGACCAGTGAGCATCCTATGTATCGTCTCTAATATTCTTCAAAAATCTGTTAATAACCAGAGACTCATATGATCCCTCATAATTTATTGTACCAATTTCAATCTGGTTTTCTTTGCTCTTATTCAACTGATTGTTGTCTTATCCAACTATTTGACCCTTTGCTTTTTCTATCTTACGTTAACATGTCTTAATGTCTTAAGTATTAATGCCGACTGCAAACTCCTGCTTTAACCCGACGACAGCACTATAACATTTTATTTAAAGACCCAGAAGTTATCTTGGCGAAGTAAGGAAATGAATTAAAGTCTTGTAGCAACTGGCCTAAACCTAGCAAAATGCCTGTAAATGTAGTTTAAATTTACCTAATGGTTTTGCAGCCAAATTGAAAAATGTTCTTTCAAAAATAAGGTTCAATCAAGTATGGGAAATTCTAAAAAAATGCCTGATTAATGCTGTAGGGAACAAATTAGCTGAAATATATACAGATTTCTGGAAAAATAGTCTTTTTAATGACCAAAATAAACCTAATGGAAACAAACTAAGAACATGTAGAAAATTAAAAAATGATTACAATTACAAATTAGAAATTTTTTTATTAATAGATTTAGACCGCTCAATGATATCTAATTTTATTAAAATCAAATTAAGTAATAGTAATCTAAATAGTGAACAGGGTAGACACCGTAAATTACCTTTGGAAGATTATGTCCCTTCTGTAAAAATGGGGTTGAAGATGTATATCATTTTGCTTTAAAATGTTAAATTTATGTTTACATTTAATGAGTATGACATAACTAAAATTATTGTTAAGGGGGTTAATGATTTATATGTACTAAGAAATAGCCTAGCTGACAAGAAAAACTAATTGGGCCTCAATAGCTACAATTTGTGATTATTTTATATTTTTCATATATATTTGTTATGTTATATTTTATAACAATAGCATTAAGAATATTGTACTTTTACTTTCAAATTTGCAAAAGTATCACCTCCTCCAAAATATCTAAATAAACGAGATACTTATATAATATGAATGTTGCTTAAATTTATATATTGTATGTTTGTAAATATTGTCATGTTTGTCTTGGTAACAACCCAATTTTTGGATTTTACACCAATAAAATGATTTGATTTGATTTGATTTGCACACTCTTGAAGTGAAATATTTTGAACAAAGGTGCTTTTGTTGCTACACTTCTACTATTTTATTTACATACATACGACTTTTAAAAATGAAATTTCATTCTTATTGTTACAAGACAATTACAAAGAGAACTGGAAGACAAATATAAGTATTAATTCTAGTATCATAATCATACTTTATGGAACTCTGAGAAAAACCAGATTAAACTATATCCAGAATATCCTAATTATTGTTTTATTATGGATAGATTCATGAATGTCCAGATATACTGAACAATATTTTTCCATCGTCAGAGAAACAACAGCTTTATTATCTGTAAATTTCCTTTCATTCTACATGAAAATTCCGACCTGCTGATTTGGTGACCTTGTTTTGTTATTTTATTTTCTACTTCTCTATTGATAAAACAAATCTAGAAGAATAGCAACCATGTTTTGCTGAATCAATTCATTGTTTTATTTCATTGTAATCAAATCATTATAATCATTATATAATCATCAAATGAATGTAATTAATCAGCTGAGCTTTGGGTGGTGTGATTAGCAATAAAACACTATTCCATTATATTCTATTTCAGTACACCAGATGTAGATCTTCTGTTGTCACTTTTACTTTCCCTTTTGACATTCTGTTTCCGACTCAAGTTTCTGTAAAAAAAAATATGCAGCTTTTGGTAAAATACTCTATGTATCTGAGTCTCCATGCTGTGACTATTGGGCCTCAATATCTACAACTTCGAACTTTATTCAGCCTTTTAACCTTTTTTTATTCGAGCGTGACTGATGAGTCTTTGTAGACGAAACGGGCGTTTGCCTTATACAATTATAAGTCTGGCATCTTTGATGAGTTCTTATTTTGACAGAGGCTGCATCATTTAACTGAAAGATTGATTATTCATTTTTTTAATATAAGTTTGTAAAATATATATTTATTTGATTAAATACAGTACATTATCTCAGCCATGATATAGCAGTTCAAATGAAAATGATCTAAAAGTTAAATATATATAATTATTATAAATACAGAAATTAAGGCATTATGATCCTTACTAAACCCAAGTTGTGATAGAAATTAACTAAGTACTTGTTGTACATGTAATAACAACGGGTGCCACATGTGAAGCTGGATCTGCTTACCCTTCCGGAGCACCTGAGATCACCTCCGGTTGTTGGTGGGGTTCGTGTTGCTCAGTCTTTAGTTTTCTATATTGTGTTTTGTATACTGTTGTTTGTCTTTTGGTCTTTTCTTTTTTTGTCATGGCGTTGTCAGTTTATTTTTGACTTATGAGTTTGAATGTCCCTTTGGTATCTTTCGCCTATCCCTTGAGTGTTGTTCAAAATTTTTTGTTTATTGTTTATTGTTTTGAGTTACCGAGGTGACAGAACTTGCTCTTTATTAAGTTTTCTAAAAATAGTACTGGTATACCTGATCAATATGAGTTAATATACAAACAACATAAAATTAAGTGAAAATAGTATGTTTGGTGTTTCCTTGAAGGGGTAATAGCTGTCAAATTCATATTCAACGATTTGACCCAATTTCTCAATTTGATTATTTACATACTTAAACGTATATCCAATTTACAAAAAGTCGAATAAACAATTAACAATGCATGGACTCGATAATAGGTATCAGCATTTCGTATCCATTTTAGTCTAGATGCCATCTAAATGACCATCGAGATGGCCTCCGAAGACTGCCGATGGTTATATAACCCCATAAATATAAATAGATAGCGAACACGTGCAGTTTTTTTCTAGGACTGTTTGATTTCATGTTATAGGTTAAAAAAATATGTTTATCAACGTTTCCACCTGTATAAGAAGGAAGTTTTGTGGATCGAACGGTTCACTCTTGTTTCACTATTAATGTTGTCAAGGATGTTGACATTCTTTTCCTTTAAATAGTTGAGCACGCAAAGTACATGCGTAATCCATCTCAGCTAAGGGGTTAAATTGAAGGTCACATGAATACGGATTCAATTGAGGTTGAATTATTCACTTGCAAGTCAATAATACATCCGCGATGTTTTTGAGATTATTTTGACAATTTTGGGCCAAGCTAACTGCTTATAACGAAATATTATTTCAAAATTCCGTTTTTATTAATACTGGAAACAAAAATAACCATATTTTAATTTTTGTCAAAATCGTAGCTAATGTCCCAATAAAACAAACATACAAAGAAAACTGCAGCAAATCCGCAATTTTACCACCTCTATGAAATCAAAGTATACGGTGAGATGGATGACATGCATATACGTTTTGTACGGGTATAGAATTTCTGCAAGCTATCTTCCGTGTCAAATTCATCATTATTTAAAAAAAAAATTTTGATAAATCAGTCTATAATTCTTTTGTATTTATCAATCCCAACAACATTGTGTAAAATCTGAAGTAAATTGATCCAAGCATATTCTAGCTTAAGTATAAGTCCCATCACTTGGGATGATAAAAAATCGGATAATTTTCAAAATGAAATGAGAGCTTACCTTCACCAATCCCAACAACAACAAAAAGTTTGAAGTAAATTAATCAAGCATTTTAAGGTTACTGTGCAACAGTGCAACATATGAAAAATTGCATTAATCTGACGGTTAAAGTCCAATAACGCTGGAATGGCAAATTGGAATGCAAGTGGCACAAGTAGAGGATAATCTGCCTACCCTTCTGGATCAACTGAGATCATCCCTAAGTTTTTGTGGGGTTTATGTTTCATAATATAGTATTATGTGTACAGTTGTTAGTCTTTTCGTTGTTTTGTCGGTTTTTTTTCACCATGGTATTGTCAATTTTTCTTCTACTTATAATTCTGATTGTCCCTTTGGCGTCTTCTGCCTCTTGTTTACTTTTACTAGTCTCAGCATAGCTTAAAGCTCTTTTTCGATGATCTGGCCTCTTACAAATACTGTCGATTTCAGATAAATATTATGGCAAGTGTTGTTTCTATTTTTTCTTGAGTAACAGGTATCAAACAAACAACTGCAGCACTTTATCTAGCTTCCTGTAGTAGTAAGCATTTTTTAACCTTGCTTTCTAAATTAAGAACTGCTTGTTTTATCATTTCCTTGTTGATGTTAGTGGTCATCCTGTTGGTAACTGCACTGTGCAGGTTTTTTGAAGTGTGTGTTATTATTCTACGAAATCCACGAACGTTGTAATAAGGCAATGGGGAAGTTTTGTGTGCGCATAAAATGTTAAACCCCATCAAGACAAGCTATCGGGACCACGTGTTGTTCGATGTTATTTGTATTTTTCAGAGGATTCTTGTGTTGATGATTTATCGAGTTTGTCGTACTATCCAGTCCAGTATTTTGAGTGGTTCCCGTTATCCTTTTTGTGTATTACTTAAATTATTACATCGTTAATTGATTCTTTATATTTTTACCTATTAAATTTTTTTAAGAGCGTCCCAAATTTTGTTTTCGTAAATAGATTCAGGTGTATTCTGATGTGCAGAGAAAAAAACATCCATAAGCCTTGTTACAGTTGCACCATGTCCATACTTATTCCTCCATTTAACCAGCAGGTCATGACATGCAGGATCTGAAGCCCGATGATGTTTATATTGTATGCCATCAACATCTCCTTGTTCAAATCCTAGACATGTTCCAAACGTTATTAAGTGTGCTGGAGCTATTGCTTTACAAAAGTACAAAAGGTGAACATCTTTTAAATATTGGTTTTCTTTTCCTGGTGGCATTCGGTTTCCAATCCATTCCTCTGAAAGAAGAGCATACATGTCAATGACATATTGTATCATAATATAATTATATTTGACTTTTGTTATCTAGAAATTACAACTGATGGTAACATATGGACTTGTTCATAGGTCAGATATAAAGTCCATTATCGTCTACATGCATTTCTAAGAAAAGCATGTAACCCTACTATCCAACACAGAATCAAGGTATCGTCGGTGCTGTGATCTAGCCTATCAAATCTGAACACCCAAACATGTCAATATTGAATAATTTCTTCACAAAAGTTTTGTACAAAACATCAGTTGTTAGAAGATCTCTTTTCTACTATTGAAATTGCTATACTTGCATCCTTGGTAACAAATTTGAAAATATTTATAAAACATTAAACTATTTAAACGAAGCATACTCAACGGTTAAGTACAATTTTGTAGATAGTTGTCTCATAAGCAATCATGACGGATTTTTTGAGGACTGAATATTCATTTCCAGTAGTTTCTACCGCATGTGTTTTTTTTGAGCGAAAAATTATTTTCACTCTTGTACACAGTTATTTTCTTCATTGTGTGTTGCAGAATCTATATCATCACCCTATTGTCTTAGGGAAAACTTTTTAATTGCTACTCTTTAAAGACCAGGATATTCGTTTCAAAATTCCCCTGTCAACCTCGAAAACAAACTGACAGTGCCTTGTCCTCCCCCCTCTCGCATAAATTCCACCGAAAAAATTCCAAAGAAAGATTATAGATTTATCTTCTTAAAGCATCAAATTGCATCTCTGCCCCCGGTGACAGTTTTTTTGGGAAACAATCCCCAAAATAGGCAATAATTTCATCGAAAAGAGAAAGTCGAGTACACCTTTTTAGGTTCAGGCGTGTTTGAGTTGACTATTCTGTCTTGAAAACGTATAAAAGAAAAAAAAAATATTTGATACATCATCTCGCTTCAGATTTTATTATTTTTATGTATTTAGGCTGTAGGTTGATACAAACATTGAAAATTTACAGTACTAAAAGATGAAGTATATAGGTCAAGTGAAATACCTTTCTAATGAGTCATAACAACAGAGTAGGCGTGTTCGAATAACAAATTTTTTACTAAAAGTATTTGACGACAAACTTTTCTGGTGGATCTTAAAAATGCACAACTTCAAAAAAACTTAATTTTTTGTATGTGTTATCTATGGTAATTAGTCTTCAACCTCTGAACATTTTTAGTCTGCTCTTCCACGAAATATTTAATTAGAATTTTTAAAAATATTTTTGAACTTTTAATAATTCCCCCTGACAACCGATCAGACAAAAGTTTCAAGTTGACCAAATGCATAAAAGTACATTAAATGATGCTCAATAGCTTGTAGATGCATTTGTCTTTTAAAAAACAACTGGCATATAAGGATCGTAATGATACTATGCGGATAAATTTATCGGTTTTCAAGAGCTAAATTGACAGCGCGTCATAACTACAATGGCTTCTACTTTTACGATTATAAAAATTAGGTGGCGTAATGGGGAGATAATTTTGACGAAGTAGAATCCTGACTGAGCAATGAACAAAAAAATTAAACCAACAAGAATATGTGTCCATAGTACACCATGCACTGCTCACATTCTCACATTTCTGTGATCAGTTTTCCATATATCTGGGTGAAAACCCTAATTTGGAATATATTTTTTTGAGTTGACTTCTAAATAAAAAAGGTATATATAGTTTCAAGTTCATGTAACTAAAACATGATAAACTATCTTAAACCAAACATTTAATATCATAACAGACTGCCAAAAGGACGGATGGACTCACTGTCCAGAAAACATTATGCCCACACTGTCGTAGGTGGGGGCAAAAACACATGCTTTTCAGTGAGAAATATTTATAGTGGTAATAAATCTGATATCATAAATATAGATTTATATTTTTTTAAGCAGTTCAGGATTTACAATATGTTTCAAGACTTCTAATCGGTTTCTATTTACGCTGTATAATATTTTAGAATATTATATAGATAGTTCGTGTAGAAATAATGACTTCAAGAAACGGGAAATTAAAATCTAGTGTAAATAGAGGCATACCCCAAATTTGGTAATTAATAATGCAACAGTTGATCTTTGTAGTTGATGTTCCGTAGAGTCTATTATGATCAAATGATTTCACTGTATTTAGTGTGAAACTTTTCATAATTATACATTCTTCCATTAACAATTTAAATATATGGGATTAAAAATGGACAATTCTAAGACATTCAAAATACTGGAATAGTATTATATATTTATTATAGAACAATTTGTTACACACAATCTCATATAATTTAAATTGTGATTATCTAATTAAAGGGTGTTTGCCTTTTGTTGACTATACTCTTAAAGGCTATTTCTGGCTGTACTAATAGAAACACAAGTTATGGTTTTATTGTCAACAGGTTCATCAAACATACTTTTACAAATAGATACAGAAGTATAGATTAGTGGTGAGTTTGATTATCATTTTCTTTTCATATAGGTTGCTGAGACCCCAAGCAATGATAGGTGATCATGGTGATATTGTGACAAAAATGCAGTTTATGCATACGCCAGTATTTGTAAGTCAATGTTTAATTGTAGTCCATCATAAATTACCCGTTTGAACAAAACATATTTTCGAACATCCTGGCACTTTAAATTTCTAGGAGGTGAGATTCTCGGGCTTTTACCTCAAACTCTATGGGAATTCACAATTTTAAACTCAATTTAAAACAAAATGGTAAAAGATATCATAAAGATACTTTAAACCCATGTGTAATATGTCAGAAATCGATCTTAAATAAAAACTTAGCGATTCAACAAATTAAAAGTAAATTGATTTTTAAATGTGTATTATTACATATGGTAAAACCGGAGGATTTGTCCCCGCTTCAACTCCAATAATTGTAAATGCTCTTTTGTTCCGACGTTGGAAAGTTCCGGGCGGAAAGAACTAACTATCCGAAAAGTTCCGGAGGAACTTATCAACTAGCCACAAAGTTCCTCTTTGGCAAATAAGTCAAAACCGGAACTAACAAACTAGCCCAAAAGTTCCAACGGAACTTATCAACCAGTCACAAAGTTCCATTTGGAGAATTGATGCAAAGTAAAAGCGCAACATATTATCTTTGAACCTTTTCAAAGGTGAACAAAGATACTAGCCACAAAAGTCAAACGGAACTTATCAACTAGTCACAAAGTTCCTCTTTGTTAGGGTTATGGTTATGGTTATTGTTAGGGTTAGGTTAGAGTTAGGGTTAGGGTTAGGTAAGGGTTAGGGTTAGGGTTAGGGTCAGGGTTAACTATTCAACTAGCTACATTGTTCCGGGACTTTTCAACTAGCTACTTTTTTTCCGGAACTTTTCGACTGCACTCGGAATAAAACAACTAGTTAGAAAGTTCCTTCGGAACGAAATAACTAGTTGAAAAGTTCCGCCGGAACAAAGTAACTGACGGAACATAGTGGCTGTTACATAGTCATCTGTACTATTATTTGTTTGTTTGTCTTTTTATTTTTGGCCATGGCGTTTTCAGTTTGTCTTCGATCTATGAGTTTGACTGTCCCTCTGGTATCTTTCGTCCCTCTTTTACATCAGTCACGTCTCAGTCCTTACAGCTGAAAGGACGTGCTGGGTCAGCTCCACTTTACCCGCTATCTACGATGTTGGTATACTGATAGATGGACCAACGACACACTACTCTCGATGACAGAAACCAATCCAATGCTGTACAGTACGTTGTATAAACTTGAAGTTTCGCGTAAATACCCACGTTAGCATATGGTCCGTAACACCCATTATGGGGGATATATTATGCTGACTGACGTCCGTGGGCCTGTATCGAAGGTGTTGGAAAATGGACCCCCATTTCACTGTCTTACGGCTTTGGTCCTGATAAAGCTTCCTGTCATCGTTATTACTATGTCCGAGACCCATCGACCAGTACTTCATCATCGTGGATAGTGGGCTGCCAAGCTGACAAACCTGGCCCTGAAAGTTGCCGTTGTGAAGGCAGTAAACAACAACATAATAGTCAACAAACCAAAAAGATCTTACCAAAACCAAAATGGCGGCCGTCCTTTCCAACTTTCCATCGTCACGCATGAAAATATTTTAACGCTCACCAAACGCATTCGGGCACCCAGTCGGCCGTGCGAGGGCTTACCAGCCAGTCAAGGTCGTTAAACACCACTAGTTAAATTGCGAGTTCGGTCATTTGTATTTTGGCTGTTGATGAGTAAAGAAAGCATCGTGAATTTATATAAAACAATTAAAAGATCTTTAAGAAGAATTTAGAAGCTGAGGTGTAAGTAGGAAGTTAGTAAACCACTAGGATTAAGTTGAAAGCTTGTAGTTGGAAGCAAGCAGTTTAGAAGTCTTTACGATAGTTGCAAGCTACTGGGTTGTTCCGAAACTGCAATTTCCCACGGGAATTGGTCGCAGTCCCTCAAAGAGGTAGCTTGTGATTGTCTGGTGACTTCGGTGTTTCAGAGACCTGGTGTCTCAGGAACTTGTGGTTTGGAAGTTTGGGTCTCGGTTCATTTAGTTTCTAAAAGATAAAGTTTGACAAATAAGTTGGGATCTCCGAGTCAGTCAAAGGATTAAGGATTGATTGAAGTTATAGTTGGACGTTTTGAATACATTGTAAATTGTATATTTTTGTTGTTTCTTTGTGGTTAAGATTCAAAGTTTATATGTTAGTCTCGTAGTTTAGAGTAAAACTTCTAAGTTGTAGTTAGGTTTTGAGTTAATAAAAAGATTGATATTGAAGCATCTCAGATTCTGTGAAAACGGATACGAACAGATAGTTCATATACATGCCAAACACGTTACAATAGCATACTCCCCTTCGCAGAGTGGCGGAAATTGAAAACACCTTAACATGCTTAAGACTTGTCTGTTTGTTCGTTTGTCCAACACATATTTTCGCCACACTTAACTTTCTCATGAACTACTGAACAGGATGCCTTCATATATTGTAACCAGCTTGACAATGATGAGTTGTAACGTGTGAACACTTTTCTGGGCTGTCAAACATCTGCTTTTGTTTTAACGAAACTTTGAATTTGTAACATGTTGAATGAAAACAAACATTTTCGGCATACTTTTTCAGGACAGAATGACTCAATATTTTGTCAACAGTTTGACTGTAACGTTTAATTGCTTAACAGATATGCCAGACACCTACTTCATGCACTCCAAAACTTTGAATTACAAGTGGGTTTATGCCTAGCATGACAACGCGTGTAGCTTCTTGTTGCAACAATAAATAGTTCACGTATAAACATGCATCAATTTGTTTACCTACCACGTGTTTCATCGTCATCTTCATCTTCTTCTTCAACTGTATTCTCTATCTGGTCTGCAATAGATTCATACGCTTTTTCATCTTTACGTAAAGACTTGAGGAATTCTTTATACCCCGCTGGTTTACTTCTAATAAGGATGGTTACAAATTCTCTGTTCTTATCTTTTTGTGTACTTTTTGCGTTTATTTTTTCCGAATCATGTATAGTAAATATTCCTTTAGTAATCATATGATCTAATATATCAACAATTACCAGTTCATTTATGATGGTTTCGTAGTTGCTCGTAATCTTCAATTCATTGTCTTTCGCCAGAGGCATTGCTATTTCTATAAAGAAAAGAAAACATTGTATAACAAGAGGTATTCACATTATGTTAACAACTACATATTTTGAGGAAAGCAAATATAACTCTTCAATATCAACAGAACTTTCCGTAGAAAAAAATATATTCGAAATTGTATACAAAGGAGAACTTTATTGTGTACAGCATGAACATGAACATGAATACAGCATGAACATGAACAATAATACAGCATTTAACAACTTGGTTTCAAGGGTTTTTTAATATTGAAATGTTTACAAGGGAAAATATTTGAGACACATTTATTAACCATCTTAATAGTCCACATAAACATGAAGTCTTTAAAAGCCATTTTATTTTTTTTTTTGCTGTGGCACCTTCATTGCGTACAAAATTTTAATTCTGGTATCTGTAATGAGTTTATTTTCTACGACGTCGTAACACCGAAGCCATTTGTTTCGTTTCGACTTTGAGAGGAAATTTTGATTGATTGCATACTTTTATAAAGGAATCTCAAAACCAAGAAAAGTTTAAAATTTTCTAAAGCATAAATTGCGTATAACATTTTAGTATTACTGGTTTTACTCTATTCAGGGTAAATTTATTTTATTTTACAATTTTGTCATTCAGTTCCGTTTTTAAGGTTCATTTTGACCCTATGGCTAAAATGGTTGCGTTTTCGCCTCAAAATTTACTCTGAGTACAGACAAACCTGTGTATCTGAAAAAGTTTTCACAAATAGCATGCCCTAGACAAATAAAATTCAAATGCATTTGTTGTTTTACAGAATTGATAACTTAACTGAAGGTGCCAAAATAAACAAAGTTGGGAAAGAGGTTTGAGAACTTCCCCATAGGTTATAATTGAAGTGAACTGTATTTATAGAGGGGCAATAGATACCTGACAATAATTGGTGATTTAAACTGTGTCACTGAGCAGTCCATATCAAATGAAACGCAACTGTTTGTTACTTTTATCATGTTCTGCAGGGACGAAAAAAGTGCATTGCAAAATCCAGTTAATTTTTTTAAATTTTTTCTACAACATAAAATGCATTTGAATTTTATTAAACTAGGGCATACTATGCCTTAAAAATAAAATATAAATTTTATATTTATACAATAATCGGTTTTTCATATATTTTTTTGAATAGTTTCCCAAGATTTTGAAATTCGATATATATTTTAATACATATCTTTAAAAAATACCCCTTTTTACAATATTTGAGTTAAGAACTGATACAGGTAAATATTAAGGTTTGAGTCCTTAAGAGGACGCCTTAATCCTTAATATTGTTTAGTCTAATTATCAAATGTTGGATAAACGTGAATAAACCGTAAAATGAGTGGACTGTGTATCAATTTGAATTCACCTTTTTTTATTTTAGCATCTTCTGTTGGATGGGGAAAAAAAGGGAATCTCAAAATCAAGATAATTTTATAATTTTCTGAAACATAAAATGCATTTAAAATTTGTTTATCTAGACCCTGTCATGCTTTAAATATTTTTCAGGTGCACAGGTTTCTCTTTACCAAGAGTAAATTCTATGGTGCAACAAGGCCATTTTTTTTTTAATTTCTTCTGAGGAACTTTAACATATCCTCTCTCATTGAGATGCCAGTAAATGCAGCATGTAATTTATTTGATTCTTTGGTCAAACCAGTACATATATATATAACAATGGAACTTGCTATATCGACATCTACATGACCTATTATAGAGCAAAGAAAATAAAACCCGGTGTGAAAAAGGTTCACTTCTTATGTAAGCATGACATTGTTCTAGGGAAAAAAGGCCATCCTCCAACCTAGGTGCAAGTGCAGAGCTAAACAGATTTCCTGCATGTGGAAAAATACATATTTTATCAAACTTTACTATATCATTTATCGATGAATAACAGGGTGGTTCAAAGTCGGAATGTATTATACCGACCCGAACCTTTAGCAGACCTTAATCAACAACAAAAAAATACTTCTCACTGTCAAAAAAAATATAAATCAGTTCAGGAAATCTGAGATTTCTGACTTTATAACTAATTTACATGGTTCTCAACCGAAAACAGACAATCTGTACTGTACTGTCCTAACAGACATAAGAAAGAAAGCAATGTGACATATGAGGAAAAACTAGAGCACACGAACGTTATGTATAATGATAGGTCTCTATTCAATACATACATTGTAGAAACACCTTTATCTGCTCGACAGAAATTGAACAAGGAAGTAAATTAGCATTTGAGACGCAACGGCCATACTTCCACGTCGTCCATAGGATATGTCGGCCATACCGCCACATCGTCCATATACTTGAATCAAGAAAGATAGACTTTTTCAAGAGTGTCTACATAATGGGTCGAAGACTACCCTATGTTGATATCTTAAAAAACAGAAGTGACAGAGCTGAATATGTAAGATCCGTATAAGTGCTTATAATCTGATGATTGAAAGAGGGAGACATCTTAATATTCCCAGAAATGAGAGATACTGCTCTGTATGTAATTCTGATCAAATTGAAAATGAAAAACATTTCTTTTACATTGTGAAAAATACTCAACTAAAAGGGCCATATTTTATCAAAAAGCTTCAAATATAATCGATGATCCTACAAAATTTGAAAAAATTAAAATAATATAATTCATACACTTTTCTAAAATTGACTTCCTCTTTCCTTTCAGACAGTTTGAACCTGTGTAAAGCTGAGCAAATACTATAGAATTGTCAATATGTCTTTAATTCATAGTCATTGTTTATAATATTATATATTAGTATAGTAATTCTTTACAATACTCATTATGTATGATCAATTATGTAATTAATATGCCATGAACCTTAACCATTCATTGTTGATTAGTTTGTGCTAATAAAATATTTGTATTTTATTTTTATTTGTATGTAGAAGTTTGCCGGTTCACATCTTTTGTGCATTTGTTTATGGATCATCGGCAATCATACCAAATCTCCTTAAAACGTTTTACTATATATATAAGAAATAAAGATAATTTTTTTGTTTTGTATTTTGTTTATTCATTTAGTCATACATATAAACAAATATACAACAAACAACATACAACATACAACATATATACATCAAAAAGACTGCACACACAGCTTGTATTGTTACAAGAATTTCACTTTTTAAATTTTTTTTTTATAGTAAATATATAAAAGGATATCACATACACATAACAGTTTAGATATATCAAGATAAATTTAGGAGGAAAAAAACTCAAAATATACTACAATAGGAATATAAACTACAGATTAACTCCTTAACACTTGTTTGTTTAACGCTGGAGTTCCAGAACAAATGTTCCGAGAACAAACGGGTTACCGAAGCAATGCAATTTGGTCCTATAATAGACCAACTGAGGGACAAAAGCGAAAAGTGTCCGAAATTCTCCAATTGCAGAAAAAATTATGGTGATACCGTGCAAGAAACCGATACTATGAAATGTGTACAGGTAAAGGAGGGAACACAATCCGCGATTTCCGGCAAAAGACCGAAGTCAGAAGAAATGTCCTTTGTCTTCAATAACTGGAATGTTACATTCAATTTCAAATACACATATACACGTGTTGCATTCGATAAATTGTTGAAATGGTGTATTAAAACTGATGATTGATGATTTTGAAATATTTATTCTTTCAACAGATTTATCTAACAAAAACTTTTCTGCATAAACGTTGATTTACTTTGTTATCCCCCCCCCCCCCCCCCCCCCCCCCCCAAAAAAAACAAAAACAAAAACCAATGAATTTGGCCCACCCTCCTTACGTTCTACATTAGTTTTGATTTGTTTGGTTGGCTCTACCTATTGTATTTATTGTTAATTTGTTCTCGTCATGAACACGCATGAAATATTTGTCACTGGGCTTTAAGCTACCAACAATCAATCAATCCTCAGATATATATAAATTAGACTGGTCTTATAATTTCCAACATGGAAACTACCTGTTTGGGTTTAGTGGTAGTACTTCGCTTGTGTAAATTATAGAAAGACGTGTGTATATTTCAAACTCTGTTTACTATACTGACTAGAGACGTTATGCATACAATAAGCGTAATAATGATATGATGTTACAATACGTTACTTTAGTATTACATTGAAGACCCATTGGTGGCCTTCGGCTGTTGTCTGCTCTTTGGTCGGGTTGTTGTCTCTTTGACATATTCCCCATTTCCATTCTCAATTTTATTATGAGGAAAAAAGACTGAAATCGACACTACATATAAGTTTTGAGGTCACCATCACGAATTGGTTGATTGATACGATGTATCGTTGTCTCAAATTACTAGCGACATATTTTCGAGGTCTTAGATGTTTTGATACAAGTATAGTCTCTCATCTGTTTTTTACCGATTCAGTCCTAATGCCGATTTTGACATTTAGACTTAGTCTGATTTCGCATGGCGGGTTATGCATGCATAGCAGGAGACGCTTCAGGTGTGGATTTAGGGGGGCATGGGGCCCAGTCCCCCTTATGGAACTTGATATATGATAAATGCATAGACTTTTTACCAGTATCACTCCAAACGTTGGGGCCCCTTTTCCAAATCCTGGATCCGCACATGGGCTTCCCCTGTCGACGCATCCGGTCTAACTCCTTCTTGATTTTATGCAAATCCCAATTTTTTTCCCTTTTTTGTCTCTTCCTAATGAATTTACGAGATCTGAACATCGGTAAACTGCTATCGTCATAAATAGTATAAATGCAAATATCATTTAAGTTGTTTATGAATATTTTAATCATCCTTATTATTCAAACCTTTCTACCCCAATTAATGTCATGTCAACCAAGTATGTATGTTTGGGTTGTTCACACTATTTTTTTCAGTATAATGGAACTATAGTATATTCAACTGTCAACAAGTAGTAGGTTTAGTAGAAAAGAGAAATCCTGTGTTTTCAATGACAAATTGATGGTATATATAGTCTATTTGAAATACCCTGTAGATCGGGGAAGTTTGATGAAGATTTTATATTCTGCTACTCGACGTAAATGCAGCTGTGGTTTTCGTCATTATACATCACCTGGCATTTAAACAGAAGCCGTCGGGTAATCACTAAATCCATACGAAATTATATTAACTACCTAAGAGTAATCAATTGTCGAAATCTGGTGCAGTAAAATTGATACTGTTAATGGAATAATTACCACTCAGTCGATACCTCAAATTGATATTCAGATTATTAGCAATGTGATTGAACGTGCACCAAACTTTTACAAATCATTTACTGTTTAATGTCGATTCATCTCTTATTGACAAGTATAAAGTTTTTATAAAGTTTTTCTTTAACAGAATATTTTCACAGAATATTATATAGTATGCTATTGATTTTCGGTTTCTTTTTTTCATTTTGGAAGAGTAATTTAAAAATTATAATCTGAACGTAGGCATAAGTTTAATATGTGATTCATACAGTACCAGCGCAATCACAAACTCGAAATACACTCAAAATTCATTTAATTTCTTACAGAATTGATTAAAAAAGAAACAAAAACCCTAAAAAAATCCTGGAATTTTTTTGGCGAAGTTGTAATAGATGTAACATAACGTTGTTTGTTGTGTTATTGTGTATGGTTATGTGGAAAACACCTTTTTTAATGAGGAAACATGCATATATCAATGAAAAAATGGCAGGCAGAGGTATCATATGAATCCACTTACATTTACCTCAAATCATGGAAGCAGCAACAAATATATGTCATCTCCACACTTAATTTCCAAAAGAAAACAAGCTGGATTATGTTTTTCTTATCACTTGAGTAGTAAACTTTACTACTTTTACAATTATATCTCCAAGAATTGCTGTGTTGCAGTATAAAGCTGAACCAACCCGCAGCAATGAATTCGCGGGTTCGAATCTCATAGCCGGAGTTAAAACATATTTGCCTATATAAAATGTAACTTAACTTAACTTAACTTTCAATTTCAAAAAGACAAATGAATACATCCAAAAGTCAGATTAAGATATAAATTAATATTGTGTGTGCCTAATTGCACCCCTCTTTTTCTAAATTGTGACGGGCCAGGGTACACCACAGCACATGAATTATAAAATTCTGTTGCAAAGAATTTTCTCTTGTAAAGTCTAAATTTTGTTAACTGCTTAATTTTTCCTGAATTTCACGTTACTTTTGGAGAGATACCGTATAATCAATGAAAGACATATTTTCTTCAAATATAATTATCTGAAATATTCAATCAATTATCCTTCATAACAACTCAATATAGACTTTGAAGAAGCCTTGTTGCGCATGCTCTATTCAATTGAACTTGGATAGTGTTTTTGATAAGTGTAAAGGTTTAAATCGTCTAGAAAGGAAAGGGTTCATGTTTTAACTATCACTGGATCGATACATCTGCTGGTGGACTGTTATTACAAGCAAAATAACCAGTACTTCGGTACTGGAATGAACATACGGATATTGCTTGATTGTAGTTTGATTTTCTAATATTTTTAAAATCTTTTTTGATTACGAAATATATATATCGCCCTCATGCAAAGCATTGATATGTTCATAATTATAAATTGACTGTTAAGAAAACTTGAGATTTTTTCGAAATATTACTGATTTTCTACCCAAGGAATAAGTGTAAAGGTTTAAATCGTCTAGAAAGGAAAGGGTTCATGTTTTAACTATCACTGGATCGATACATCTGCTGGTGGACTGTTATTACAAGCAAAATAACCAGTACTTCGGTACTGGAATGAACATACGGATATTGCTTGATTGTAGTTTGATTTTCTAATATTTTTAAAATCTTTTTTGATTACGAAATATATATATCGCCCTCATGCAAAGCATTGATATGTTCATAATTATAAATTGACTGTTAAGAAAACTTGAGATTTTTTCGAATTATTACTGATTTTCTACCCCAGGAATAGATTACTTGTGCTTAATTGATTTGGAAAAAATTTAAGGAATTTTGAGTCCTAAATGCTGTTCAACTTCTTACTTTATTTGGTCTTTTCAACTTTTTTGTCTCAAGCCTCATTGATTAGTCTTATGTGGACGAAACGCGCGTCTTGCGTACATAATGTTAATCCTGGTATCTATGAAGAGTTTATTGATAAATTGAGGAATGAATTAGAAAAATTAATAAAAAAGTTTAAACTCCCTGAGGCAAAGTGTACCTCAGATGGGTTTGGTTATTCTTTTCGTGCTCTTTTGGACATATAACTCTTGACGTGTTTTAGTTTTTATCATCCTTAGTTTTCGAAGATTTCTATTTGAGCATTCCTGATTCCTTATGAAGATGAATCAAGAAAAGTGCTTCAGACGTTCGAATTTATTCAGCGTTTTTTCATTCGCCATAACTGTTATAACTACCATTGGATTGACACCTCTGTTGGTGAACTGTTACTACCCAGGTATATCCCCAGTCCAATGATGCCCCTCATGGGGGTGTCCAAGTAATCACATAATCACAATTTTTTTGCCAATATAATCACATAATTATTAATTATTTTTTTTAAACAAGATAATCAAATAAGCAAAAATACAGTTCTAAATTATCAAATAATCAAATAATCATGAACTATTTGGTCTGGTAAACAAATAATCACTATACAAACGACCAAGTAATCACATA